CTCTTACCTATACAAAATATATGTGTATTATCAAACCTACTTATCTTTGAAAACAACTTAAGTAAGACAACAATTTTAATTAAACCATAAAAACTTGAAGTTTTTAACGTAACTTATCTTATTTACTAACTTTAAGTACAGGCACAAATCCAAATTCTTAAATTTCTTGAACAAGAGTGACAGTTTAATTAGTGGAAAAAATATAAATTTAAACTCATTACGGGTCATGTAGGCATTAAATGATAATTATTATTTTTTTTTTTTTTGAAGAAAAAGTGATATATAACGATAATGTTTGTATTACACACCTTAATTACTCTCTCAAGGAATCTACAATTCAATCGTGGAATTAGTAAATTTGCTGGGCAGTAAAATCGATTTTTGGTGACCTGCCAAATCGTAATGATTAATCCTGTTATTGCTTTCTCATTAGTTGCATGGATCGAAAAAAAACTATAAAATAATTTGTTTAATACTTTTTATTTAAATTAAGCTAAAAATTAATTTTACGTGTCATGGTTTGAATATTAAACAGCATTTAATTAGCGAAACACTTTCGCTTGGAGCACTGTTGTTGGGAAGCGGCTGTAGCTGACAGTGAGCTAAGGCAGTGAGTGATGGTGTGTAGTGAGGGTTGGCTTGAAGACCTCCCTCGATGCGTAGGCAGGTTCCAGATAACAAAGGATGACCCTGAACCTTCGCGAAGGCGGGAGAATGAAGTGGGGGCATAGTGGTGAGGCGTTGGGGGGGGGGGTGGGGGTGTCGGGATGTGAGTGGGGGGGGGGTGTGTTGGGGCGGGTGGGGGTAGCGTGAGTAAGCGGGAGGATCGTGAGTGAGCGGGAGGAGCAAGGGTTGGCTTGGAGACCTCCCACATAACTCGTGGTTTACATTTTAACACTCTATTATATGTTGTAACCTTAGCTGAATATGTTTACATAATAATGTTTCAGTCCGTTCTATTCTTAGTTTAAAACGAATACTATCTAAATGTGAGTAGCATCTTCTCTCTTCATAGTCCGCAAAGTAAAATAAACTAAACTATTGTTAAGTAAACTATTAAGTAAGTAATATTAGTAAGTAAGTATTAGTAAGTATTGTATTTTTAAAGTAAACTATTGGACTTGAAAACAATACACTTTTCTTACATTTTGTGTCATATGTACGCTATTTTCATAGTGTACGTCTATTACATCACTATTCCCACCACTTTTTCAGTTTGGGTTGATCTTTCAAACAGTTTGGTGGGTAAAACGGTTAAAATATGTGAAATACTGCTCTCTGATTGGTCAAAATAAGCTAACATCCTATTGGTGGTAAATAAGTGTGCGCTATGCGGAGAATAAAGAATACAAGGGAGGAGCGGGGGGGGACTCTTGGAGCGCAGGTGTTGGGGAGCGGCTGACAGTGAGTGATGGTGTAGGGAGGGTTGGCTTGGAGACCTCCCACGATGCGTAGGGTGGTTCCAGACAACAAAGGATGACCTTGAACCTGTCAGGGGTGGGGCGGCGTCGGGGTGGGGGCGGGGCGGCGTCGGGGGCGGGGCGGCGTCGGGGTGGGGGTGGGGCGGCGTCGGGGGCGGGGGCGGCGTCGTGTGACGTCACACGCTCACACGCTCAATCACGCTCAATCCCGCAGGAGCGGCAAAAACACCCTACTAACGTGACATGATAATGAAATTTATACTGTATAACGAATGAGTTATGGAAATTCTAAACCTTTGTATAAAATTAAACAAAATAAATACATTTTAGTCAACTCTGGAAGCGATTGCGATCTTTGATGTTTAACAATTCATTGTAAGATAGTATTTTACAGAAAGTTCAGCTCTATACCAAGTTAACGGGTTGTATTAAAAACTCACATTTAATCTAAAGTGCAGACATAGTCAATGGGAGTCCAGAACGTAACCTGGTAAAAATGGTTCAAAACTATGACGGCGCAGATAGGCAACCGAGATACAGGGAGTTGTACACAGATTCCCTATCTGCGCCTTACTGGCCCACACAGACGACGCAACGAAATTAAAAATACAACATCCTTATTTCCAAGCAATGGTAAAGGATGGAATAAGAATGAGATTGACAGGATAAAAATATTAATTTTATTCCAAGCTTAAGAGTGGTAAAGTCCAACAAAAATAGTACAATTGTTCTGAATTTTTCTAATAAATGTGTAATAAAAGTGTACAAAATTCTATAGATTTGGTAAACAATTTTCATGTCTCCAAATGTTCTTAGTTGTATCATACACATAGTAAAAATACGTATCTTACCCTATATTTTCAAGGGGTTAAACATTATAAGCCTCGATTTTTAGTTTTTAGTTTAAAGTGTCCAATCAAATGTTTTATTCCTGAATTTCGTTGTTATACATTTCTGGTGACGGTGATTAAAAAAATGCAGGAAAAATGCTATAAAAATGTTGTTGAAGAGCTTGTGTCAAAATAAATTGTTGGAATCTCATTAGGCTCACACAAACATAATATTATCGAAAAATAATTTTATTTTTGTATTTTTATGTAACAAATTAAATCTAGGCAAGGTACTGTGTTAAATACGTATTGAGAATCATGAAAAGATACGTAACTTAAACCTTCTATTTTACATACAAATATTCACAATCAGAACCTGAAGAGCTAAATCCAGCCAAACAAATAATGTACACCGAATGTTTACCGCCTTCATTAAATTGCAACGAGGCGTATGGCTGTCGGGGCGTGATTGCGACCGTAATTACTTCTTAAATCACAATTCGCATTTACATCACATGGTTGGCAACACTGGCAGATCTGATAGCTGGCAGCATGCGATAAACAAACAGCTGACAGGTCGGCAATCAGCTGATCAGCGATCAGGTGTGGCTAGACGATGACCTTCGCCGCCAACAAATTGTAGGTTATGTCACTGGCGGAGAATGCCTGAGCTATTGTGCTATGACGCGGTCGGTGAACTCGTTACAGTGGGAAACATGTAACACAGTGTGTTGTTTACGTCATAGTGATTTTGGGAATTGATTTATTCAGATGTCATTTAGTTTTCAAAACCTAGAATTATATTAAGAGTTAGATGGAACTAATAGTGATTCGAATGCTAAGTATAGACATTGATAGTATGATTATTGTAAAACATTTTTCTCATAAATTCAAACCGAACCAGTAACGAAGGTTTTAACACTCTTAGTAGTTGAAAGTGTTGCAGTCAAGCTTAAATTCAATCTCTAATACCCAACTAAAATTCCCTGTTGCAGCCCAAACGTTCCTTTCATTCTGATCGATCATATTCCTCGAAGAGAAATCAAAGAACAATCATAAGTCGCGTCTGACAAAGAGGCGTTCTCGAAATTACTGGCATCATTGAGATTGTTACTGCACAATGCAAACAAGATTTTATAAATCCCAGTAGGCACCATATATGACTAAACCATCGTGATTGTTCAAATGTACCAAAATGTAGCACCTAACAAATTTTGATGGTTCAATTTAATTTATTTAAAAAACGATTAGGCTCAAATTGATGTAGTTACTTCAATTTTATCCCAACTGATATCCATTATTGTAATGATTGTAACAGGTCACCGTTTTGATCCTGAAGGTTTTAACACTTTTAACAGCAGAACGAAGGTTTTAACACTTTTACAATTTAAAAGGGGAACCAAGATGTCATGCTTCATTGTAGTTTTGACGTAACGGGAGGTGACCGTTGTCTGTACATACATATACACATATACATACATATACATGTACACTGCAATATCTACCCACCCTGCATTAAATGTCAGCATACTTACGGTATCCAAGTGTATTTAGCGTTTGTTTGGATACTTTATTTATGCAATATCTTCAAGAATTAAGTATCTGATTAACTTTCACTTGATTTTTTATTGTTTATCCTATAATTATTGTTTTTCACGTCCACGACTTAGTAAAGTGTCAAGTTAAATATAATCCTAATATTTATTCGTTAAATGTTTCGGTACATCACTGAAAAATTCCCCGCACGATAATTTATTCCCGGACGCCCGGTATCACACCGGTCGGCGATGACCTTCGTCAAATTCACCGTTTCATCCTGCGTGTCCTGGTAGTTGCGACGGTGGCCGGTAGGAGCGCGCGCGGCGGCGAGGAGGCTCTAGTGATGGGAGAATCGAATACTTTAAAGAATCGAATACCGTGAATTCGTAGCCTCCCCTGTATTCGAATACTTTTACGAATACTTGTATTCAAACACCTTTGAGTATGCAAAGCATGGAAAATGAGTGTGTAATTCTTTTTTCCCGTTCTTTTAGCCACTGTTATTTCGTTTTACAGTAATTAATTCATTAATATAATTTATTCTATGTAATTTTAAATTATATGATTTTTAAAAGGTACATTTATTTTGACTTATAATTATTTCATGGTCAGTTACAGTCTTATTAATATATTATTTTCTATTATATTAACTAATTAATATCTTAAATAATATGTCTTATTCATTTGTATGGATAATTTACATCAGATATGCATGTTATTTTGCCATGTAACTATATAAATCCAAAATCGGTTGTAGTTATAATAAATTCTATTCAATTGCCCTCTACCAGTAGTAACCTAATATCATAGATAAACATGTTGGTTAGTCTATGCTAACATTTTAAATATCCAATATATTCTAAATGTTAACGATTAAAATAATCTTATGTAAATTATAGGGCTAATTGTAAAACTATAACGAATAGATGAAAACAAATGCTGCAGTAAAAACATTAAATACTCTTACGAATGCTACGGATTCGTAAGATACCTATTCAAAAGGGAATTCAGTAGTTGAAAAAGTGTTGAATACATTTTTGAATCCCCCGAATTCGCTTTCTAGATGCAAGAAATCCTGCAAAATCTGAGGTCAAGAGTATTCACAAAAAAGTATTCGTACGAATCTGAAGTATTCGAATCTACGAATACTCGGGCTGTATTCGAATACTATTCGATTCTGTATTCGATTCTCCCATCACTAGGAGGCTCAGTCGTCGCTCGGACAGTGTCGGTGTCGGTCGTGTGCGGAATGCTCTAGTCGCCTGTCGCCTCAGTGCTTAGTGATGGCCAAGTTCATGTATCTCGTGTACCTGTTACAGCTGTTATGTGCTGCCGGAGCGGCCAGTGTTGATCTGGTGGACATGGAGGTCTCCAACTGCTCCAAAGTCAAACATATTTTTGTGTCGAAAAATATCACAAACCACGTCCCCGACAATCCCGTTGAAGGTGAGTTTGGTAGTTTTGTCACCTGTGCGTTGTTATGTTATCATACGTGAATTAGTTTACGTTCCAAGGACGTAAATGATACGCGTTAAAACAAAATGTATATATTTTCAGAAAACTATTATAAATTTATGTCTGATTTCAAATCTGGTTGTAACAAATTACCTTTTCGGAACAATAATAATCGTACACTCTAAATCCAACAACCTATCACAACTATTAAACTACAAAGAAGTTATTGTCGTAACATTCATAATTTTGTTAGTCAGTCATTTCGAATTCAGGTTCATCACTTTAATGCTACGTGCTACGTACTATAAACATGCTGGTACATTAGAAGGATGACCACTCTATCTTTGTTGAACTAATCACGGAGAACTAATGAATGAAGGGATGTTTGTGATCGGATTATACAGAGGTTGAATGCCAAATATCCCCACGGATGAAGGAGTTTAAATATCGTATAACGTATAAATTTATTACGGCATGACTGATACTATGTCCTAAATAAAAAATTAGGCTATACCTAGAGTTAGGAAACTTATTGATAAAATGCTTTCTTCTACAAGGTCTTTGAATTTACATGTTTACCACTGGTTTACAGCTTCGATATGACGTGGACAAAAGATGTTTTTGACATTTCCGTGGTCTCAAATCAAGACTAAGATTTTAATCGACTGATTTCACTTTTGTGTTAAGTATGGAAATGTTACAGTTAGACAACCTGCGTCATAGGAGAGATATTAAAATACGTGAAATAGGTTTAAAATAAATAGCCAAATAATTAATATATTACAATGACAAAAGAGGGTTTAAATTTATTAAACTTCATTTAACGATTTGTAAAATAAGTAGGGTAAGTGGTCGACTTATAAAGTTCTAATTAATAATAAAAACTAATACGAAATAGCTTTTAACTCTTTTGACGCCTTTGTATGATTTCAATTATCTGGAACGTTCCTAGTAAATTTACAACACAGAATTGTCATTACAAAGAAATTGTTCTCAGAATAATAATACGACTCAGTTATTTTCAGTAAAATTAAACAATTTTACATGCGTAGAAAAACTGGATGCAAACCAGTGTCGTATACGTGGTCTACTCCTTTAATCTATGATAAGAAATCAAATATTTATTAATTGTTTGGCAAGTACGCAAATACAAAAAGTAGTTGTATGTCTTGTCAAGGCATACAGCTCACATGCGGGCTGAAAATAAATTTCGCGAGTCGAAGTGAGAGAAGTACAGTTTGCAAAGTAGGATCTCTAATTAAAAATTACAATAGATAATAGTCGATTTCCATCCAATTCTATTCATACTTCTACAAAGGAAAATACAAAATGATTGCTTGCTAATACACTTAACCTTAATTTCAACAATTACCTCACGTTTCGTCAAACTGTAAACGGATTGCCATTTTATTTGAAGAAATCTTATCATCACATTATTAATCTGATCCTTAAAAACAATTATTACATAATTTTGCAATAAAACCGAAACAGAAGCGAGAAATTCGGAAGATCCAGTGGGCAGTGGCGGTGGTTTTGTACTGTCACCGATAACAGACAGCTACATGGGTTTGCTCTTACAAATTATAAGCGGCATCAACGCCCCACGCGGTAGACTGGACAACTAATTAAATACTATCAGCAAAGTAAAAGGATAAACGGCAAATCAGCTGTTGACTGGTCAGCTGGTCAGGTGTCCGTGGAGATATGATAACAGAGGGACGCGGTAGCTGAATTCTTGGATTACGAGTAAAATCGCAGCATCGCTATAGTGGTTTTGTTGAGTGGATTTTATGGACATAATTTGTTGGACTCTCAATGATAACTATTCGTATAACAGAATGGGATTTTTTTAGAAACGTGTCGTCAAAACAATATGGGGGATGAAAGTTTATTTTATTGAAGAATTGTGTTCAGTAATAAACTGGTACATAAGTGAAAATAAAGCAATAATTTGAATACTAATTCAGAAAATTAACTTAAGCTCAAAGATTTTCTTATAGTATTTACAACGCTTATGCAGTAACTCAGGAAAATTATAGTTGTATCGAGACATAAAATATAAAATTTTTTAAATCCATAAGTTTATGTTTTTCTTTTTGGTCTTGTCGAAAAAGCGTAATGTTGCAGTTTTACAGTGTCACTTTTAATTTAGAACAGTCAGAGTTTTTACGGAGGGATACAGTGACCAGAGCCTATTTATACCTCGGCGCATGAAGCCTATGTTTAGACTGCGTGTAAAGTAGAGCTCCCTGCATTGGTCACATATTCAAAACTTGTTGAGGTAGTCCAATCTAAAGTGATCAGGCTAAAAGTATAAAGTTTGTAGCAAGTAATAGTTTTCACCAGAACAGTTTTCCTTAGGTTACATCTAAAAGTTATGTTTACTAGACCTATCTGACCATGATCATTGGACTTACTGTAAATTGAGCTGGCTAATGAAATATCTGATAGTTAGTAACAATGCTGCTTGACATCTTACACAATTCTTCACTAATATTTGGCCTATTCATTTTCTTATACTGAACTGAGACCCACAGATACTATAAGCCAAACCCTAAAAGCCACGTGTTAGAAATACGTGTGAAGGGGACCGATCTCCGAACTATTGTGAGAGAATCTTGAGGCTTTATTGACTGCTCGTCTGTAATTGGGGAATGATCAGGTCGTTGACTTGCTGTCTTTGTGACACTTCAGAGTGTTGACTGTCCAACAACAATGAGTCCAGTGCCATTGTCAACAACAACACGGCTGCAGCAGCCACAGCTGTCAGTTCACGCGTTGTTGCTTCTGCAACATTTCCTAACTGAACTGATCATTTATTGGACGCTGATTAGTTGCATTGTAATAAAAACTTTACGAAATTGAACATGTTAAAATAAACAAATCTGTACTGTAATACTGTAATATGTTTGAAAGTCCAGCTTATTCTTGTACAGTATCGGCTCATTCCTATCTTTGCTTGGTACGTTCCTCGCCCAGGCCTTTAAGACCAAGTTTGAAACATGCAGCCAAACTATTAAATAACGAGTTAAAAATACGTTGACAAGTATTTTCACAACACCATTGTTACTTAGAATTAGTTACTTATTCTGAACACCTAAACACCTAATTTAAACCAGATTAGCTCTGTCCCTATTTTAAGTTTGTTTTAACACCTTTTGTTAGATTCTTTGAGGGATACTTTGAGAAGTAGCTAAAAAATAATTGATTTAACTAATTTTACAATTAATTGTCATAAAAGTTAATCTAATCCCGAGCGAGCACCGTTGTCCAAAACTAGTTCTACAGGACGAGAAGATTAAGCCCATAATTGCATTACTGAACGCTGTTCCACACAGATTTGTACAAAGGCTTGTAATTTACGTAAAAGGGATTGAATAAAGAGAGCGAGAGATTAAATCTGAAAGCAGATTTATATCGCGAGCATTCTAGGAATTAAATATTTTCATTGCGGTTGCTTTTAGCAGGTGTAAAAGGTAAAAGCTGAATACTTTTTAAGATGTAAATTGTTGCCAAGAAAGAGTTATCATAAATCTTTACATTACAAATATTTGCGAGATGTAACACGTGAATTCCACGAATAAATTTGCGCATTAATATGTTTTATGGAACAGATTACATATTTTGACTTAATATATGTGTTGGTTTGCATGCCATTGTTATCTGCACCAATAACTCTCTTCTAATCAATAATTGCACATTTTCAATATTGTTTGTGAAATTTATTGACCCTTCTTTAGTTAACAATTTGTTGAATCTTAAAGACACTTATTTGAGGTATAGTCTTACAGAAATGTTTTACATATTGGTTCTATTTTGAACACGTATAATATATATATTTTTCATTGAAAACAAATTCAGCTTTGTAGCTTTGGTTTAGTTGGTAAACTTTAGTATTGGTTTGAATTCACTAACCATACTACAAAAGAAAAAGACTATTACTATGATTAAAAACATGGCCTTATAGATTAATCATCCCTTTGGATCGACAGAAGACAATTATATAAGTATATTTTTACCTGATGAAGATATATAGGTCTGGTTACTATGTTTTCCTTTTTATTTGATTAATTTTGAAGCTTATTTAACAATTATGTAAACTTTTGTTTGTCCTATTGAAAGAGCAAAACGCTTTGTAAAATCGACCCTAACATTTATCCACACTCAAATGTTACCAACATTGAACGGGCTTTAATATAACCCCTGCTCATGTTCTGTATACAGTAGTAAGAGAAGTCTACATACTTACACTTTTCAAATTCAATAGTTCAAAAATATATTTGGCCCCATTTTAGACCGATTACAGGTGCACATATTTTCAAATTATTTATATATTTATAAATGTCTACAAAATATTATAAAATATTTATATGTTTTCAAAGGCTTAAATTTTTTTGAAGTAATGCCTTGTTTTAAGGGAAAATGCCTTAGTTTACTAAGGGAAGGTTAATCTGGTTAGTTTACCTTACATTTTAGGTTCAGCGTTACATAAAAACGAAAATTTAAACAAAACACTCAAGCATCACTCGATACACTTGCCTAGCAAAATGCAATCTCAATCTTTGCACATAGTATCGCAATATGGTAATTATGTCAAAAGTCAAAGTTGGTAGCACTGCAGCAGTAGATAAGCGCGGGAACGTCTTGCAGTTGCAGAGGTCACATTGTTGGCTGTGATAAGATTGTAGTCAGGTGTGGCAACCTCTGACTCGACATTGACTCCGATACTGTAACTAGAGTGGACTTTGGTTACACTTATTTGCAACTGTAATTGCATTTCCTCGATTAAACTCGTGTATGAACGCTGTTTACTTACAGAATCATTTTTGCGGATAGTCATACTTGTTTCGTTCAGATGACATAAGATACAGTATACCGATTGAGGTTAAACAATTCTTAAAGGGTTTTGTGATGGTTTAACTGTATTGCACAATGCAAATTTTACTTTGCAGGTAAATTCCGCTACCTGCCATCAACTCGTTGGAATGTAA